GCATTCCATCAAAGTTAGCACTCAATGAAGTTGCTGTTTGATAAAGTTTATTTATCATGGTTTCATTAAGAATTCTAAGTGGTGAGCTTTTCTTAAAAGTTGTTGTTTAATAGGTGGTTAGCTTTATTTTCTTAAAACACTGAAGAACAGTCTATGTGCTGCTCTTCAACGGGAATTAGCCCCATGGTGGGCTCCCTCAGCCAATCAGAGGCATGGGAGAGTCCACCCTGAAAAGTGCTTGAAATTGGCTCCAGCGAGCCTGTAGGGAGCCTGCTTCCCCCCGATCCTGAATTACAGTGGTCCCTACTTACAGTTCAGGGTAGTATTACCAAATGAGACTTCATCTTTCTTGTAAAAACTGAGACCTGAAAGAAAGTCCTTTAAGAAAGAAAGTGCTTTTCACTTTTTTATATCACTCTGCCTTGTGCTGATATATAGTTGATCATTTGCTCTGTCTACCTTGTTTTCCAAGGCACTATCAAAGGCAAGAACAACAGAGGAAGTTGAATATCAGCCAGCTGGATCGAAGCAGCTGAGTCATAACTTTTCATAAAACAAAAGCAGATGTCTGTGGGCATTAGGGAGAGCAGAACTCTCATAGTGGACATGGAAGCTGGAACCCTTTACTTCAATACTGGGTGCATAATTACATCATAATTTGTTTATTTTTATTACAACAGCCGGAATGACTTATAACATTTCTTGCCTGGCTTGTTTGTTAAGATAATGCTAGATTAACTGCTCTGAAAAGTGAAGTCCTCTATTTATCATCAGAACAAGGGTGCCAATGTGTAGCAGGCAGTGTCACCTCACACATAAATCTGAATTCTAATATGCAGTTCACACACTGTGCCCTTTTCATTTCTGGACTCTCTGACAGGTTTGCTAACCATAATGGTGTAACATGCAGTGTGCGCGGGTAGATTCTTTCCTTGAAGGCAGTATCTCAAGAAACACAGTATACCATGACAATGGTGAGAAAGCTTTTTTCTGCTTAAGGACTGAGACCATTAATTTTCAAAAGAAAATGAAATAATCTCCAGGGTGTGACAAGTTTAAAATCTTTCTACCAACCCCCTGAGCCAGGCAGGTTTCCTTAACAGGAACATTTTCTATATAAAACTGGAACCTACATCAGAAGAAAATCCAAATGACTCAAAGTCAAGTGAAGCTTTTTGTTTATTAGCCACTTATAAGTAAGCATTATGCCCCAGAAAAGCTTTGATGCTGGTTCTCCTGCAGGCTGATTTAGTCTAAGGTGCAAAGGGCCAGAAACAAAAAATTCTGCCAACCAAAGAGGCTGCTGAATTCAGAAGGTGCTTCTTCATTGACTTCAAGGGGCTGTGCAGAAACTCATGAGAAGAATATGAGTTCCTAGCTGTCTGAGCTCCACTGCTCCCAGTTTTGGGTTCTTTCATCTCTTCTACCCTCCTTGGTGATACAAAACTCCTGGGCTAGATTTAACTTCTCTGAAAAGCCTTACTGTGAGCAAAACCAGTCTCCTGTCCCTGTTGCTGCTTTTTTATCCCTAAATATTTATCTATTCAACCAACCCCTTTCCTTCTCCTGTAAAGTTTTTACTTTTTCCTGAACAGAAAACTAGAGCTGTAAATTCTTATCTGCTTTCAGCACAACCTACTCTTCATGTTCCAGCAAAATGCACAGATGCACAGAGGGAGCATTTGTCCTAATCTCATCAGTGAGGGGCTCTCATATAGTAAGTGAGAAAATGCAGTTGTTGCTACGGTTTTTGGTATCTAATGGCACAAAGAAACAGGAAGCTTTTGCCAACTAATGAGATGTGCAGTGAAACCTGTGTAACTCTTTTAGGCAATCTCCTATGTTAATTGAATACCACTGGATTACAATTCTGGTACCCTTTAAGCAGAAAACTACCTCTTTTGTAGCAAAAGGCTATTGCTTGCCTTTAAAGTTGCTTTACCCTGAGTTCAGTGTATATATGTTAATGCTATCCTCTTTAGCCTAGTCTACATGACAATGCTCTGTTGTGAGTGGGCACTGCGAGTGTTTATATTCAAAACCCTACTGATGGCAGACCCCTTGGTCTGCTGGCAGAGTGAACCACCTCTATCAAGTGAAGGAAGGCTTTTTTGCTATACAGCAAGTACGTGTAGATACTCTTGAGCTTTCTAGCAACGGCCATGGCTGCTTTTCAGAAGTGTAGGTACTTTCAGGGTGCACTTTGTACCCCAGTGACATAGCTACTGTAGCAGAGCCAAAACTGCCAGAAGCACATGGATTGAGGCCCGTGGCAGGGCTAGGTGTGAGTATAGATGCAGCTGTAGTTAAAGCCAACATGCTTTCTTTGTTTCTAACTGAGCAGAGGTTGCAGTCTGCATCACCCACACAGCTGTTGTGAGAGCAATGCCGGAGAAAAGGCACTCTTTTATGGGAGAAAGCAGGTGGTTATACTAGGCTTTCTGTAGCGGGCAGTTTCTTTAGTTTACAGCCAGTAATCTATGGGGTCTCAGAGACAGGCTGCCAGGGAGAGATGGAGATAGCAAATCAGTGTATCTCTTCATCCAGTCCTACTCACTTGTTGGGCCATGCTTGCTAGTTCCTGGTTCTCCAGCACAGTGGAGATTACAGGCCCTTACAATCCTCTGCTATTCATCTCTTGATGGATTTTCTGCCACTGGGGCCTTGAAGTGTGAATTCTGCTAGACAGCACAAATGAAGCTTGTAATATTAAGCAGCATTAGAAGAATGTGGAAAAAAGTTTCCTGTTTTTCCAACATGGATAACTCATTGGGTTAAATATATTAGCTACTTTTATGCAAACTATCACTAATCACTATTCTGTTTATTGCAATAATGTGAAGGATAATACTTCACATTCCCCCTATTTAGTATACTGTAAACACCAGCCATTCCAATAAGGTATTATTTTTGTAAACAGTTTGGACATACCATCCCTCAAGCAACAAGGCCAGTACAGATTTAGTACCTTAATGTCAACATTACACCTGGATTTCATCTCAGTCACAAAACAGAGTCATGCCTCTACTTCAGGCTCTCTAACACAGCAGTGCATCTTAAAATAATAATATCTATCTATCTATCTATCTATCTATCTATCTATCTATAGGACATGCAAATGAATTTCTGTTGCCCGAATCTTTGGATTTAGTGCACTTTCGGAAAGGCCTTGGTGAGTCTCTAATATCATAAAGTGCTGATGTCATTTAGCCGGGTAAGCTGCAGCCATTCATTTCTGCTGATACAGATGCTTTAATGGGAAAAATATTATATTGACTATTTAAATTGATATCATGTGACTAAATTTGTTCTTTGTGTGACCTTGGGAACTACCTTGTCTTATCAACATTTTTTTTCAGTTCTTATGAAAGAAAGCTAATTCCATAGACATCCATCCTAGGTTACATCTAAATATTCAGTCTTTAGAAATGTACTAATGTAAGTACCTCCTGTTACAAAACAATTGACTTCTTCATCCCCTTAAAAATCTCCTTTATATTGTGTACTGATTTAAGCATTAAGAATACATACCTGTCTGTTAACAAACAGATGCATTTAAGATATTTTTATACCCATTTTATCAAACAGAAATTGCATGATTAGAATGGTTGGTAGCATGTTGTAGCAGCATACAATGAATCAATAATTGTTTTGTTAAATTACCTCAGTGCTTGGGAAAGGTATCAGATTAAGTAAATAATTTCCATTTTCGTACTTTATGCATTCTGCAGGGATTGACTCATTAATAGTTTACCAACATGAATCCTGCAAACTGGTTTGAAGGCTTGGAAACCAGCCAGCGCCAAGTACATTTGGAGCTTCAAGTGCAACAAATTTCTGCCTCCATGGGGCCCCTCACAATATGCAGACAAGCAGCTTATCCAAACATGCAAGCTGTGCTCTTCCATCAGAAGGACCCTGCTGTAGCTGCACCCATTTCCCAAATAATTTGAGATGTCTTTCAGATGTCTTTGTGGGCTGCCTCATGGAGGTTGTGGGAGGGAGGAAGTTATGGCTGCTTGTAGTCCGCAGTAGGGTAGGCCGGTTCACTGGCTTTTCAGTAGTTATAGACAGGGCCTTAAGCATACCATTTCAAGCCCCAGTTTGAACAGGTCTGAGTTTGGATGCAAAGGGGTTACCAAATTTACTCTCCTGATCTACAGTACATATACAGCACAGGCAATGAATTTCTGCACACACCACCATTAGTATAGCCTGATCTCAACTGGGAACTGAATTTGCATTCCCATCAAATCTGTGGTCCTTCTGCTGAGACTCCAAATAAAGGTGTCAAAGAGGATCAATTGTGGTGGTGACTTTTGGATATAAAATCCTGTGTACCAGGAAGTAGTCTGAGACTAATTACATGTGCATTTATACTCTGCAGCAATGCCATTTATATATATTCTATACTAAGACTTGCTGTATTGCTCCTGACGCATATATTAGAAATTTATTTTAAATCGTTTGTTATAAAATATGATATTAAATGTGATGTCATACATCCATATCACATCTTGCTGAGGGGCCAGGAAATGAAGGAGCATGGCATCTGACATGCACATAGCCCTGTGGTGGTTCCTTCAAGATAAGGTTGACATGTACTGGTGGGTAAGGTGGGCTGGGGACAGCCTGCTCTACCACTATCTGTGCTGCACTTGTTCAGTATGCTATACTTGTTCTGTGAACACAAGACTTCACTATTCCATGCTACCAACTCCAGCACCTTTCATTAGAACTAAAATCCATTAACAAAGACCCTCCCTCAGACACAAAAAAAAGTGGTTTTTTTAATAGGCCATTTTTACATAGTGAATTGAAATTATGGATAGGAACAAACAAGAGCCCCGGATCTAAACATTTTGGGGATTCTGAAATTCACATGTCAAAGTCTGGGATCATTTCCAGTTCAAGTAATATAGTTGTTCAGTGCTTCACCCTCCCCCTGATTCCCCCAGTTGGTAAGCATACAGAAGATATTAAATCTGAAAATGTCTTACCTTCTTGTAGAGACTTCTCAGGTCTCTGTACTGCCACATGCTATTTAGGACCTGAGATGCTGCTTTCACCACTTTTGGTGAGTGCCTGTTGGATGAAAAAAAAGAATAGGAAAGAAACAGTTAAATCCCAGATTCAATTAATGTTGATTTGTGAGTAAATTACACAGGATCAAAGTTCCACTGTTCATCAGCCCTGTCAATATCCTGGGAGAGCTTTTTGTTCAGTGGTTTGTGGAGTAATATTCTTTTGACTGATAAGTACATACCTCAGCTCCATGGTAGTAAGTGAATGGAAAGGAAGCAAAAAAAAATGTACATTTCAACTGGGCACTGAATGAGGAGGTGGGGGTCATGTTGAGAAGAGACATACAGGAGAATTTGGTTGAGATGGAGCTCTGCTGCTGAACTTGCGAACTGCTAGGTGGGCCATGAGGGAAAATACTGCATGAAAACTGTGAGTAAATTGTGTATGGAGAGTTGGGTTGGCTGCAAGTCTGTGCATTTTGGCATGAAGGACAAGAGTACAGGGCTTGGTTTTGCTGACCACGGACTAGAAGACTTTACGTTAAATGCCTGATGAGAGCACAGCTCCAAGTGCGATCTACCAGATGGCTAGAATAAATATTCCAGGCAAGTGTGTATACAGAGCTGCAAATAAGACAAAGGACCCAGAAGGCCAAAAAAGGAATAAAATATACAGTCAAATGCATTAGGAGTCAATGAGCTTCCCATGGAATCCAAATTTGGCCTTACATATTGAAAGCATTGACTATAGTAACTGATTAATGACTGCATCCTAAACCTATATTCATGGGCATTAGTTGAAGAGTGTCACACAGACACCCGTCCAGAATTCTTTTCCCAGAAGAGAATATTTTTCAGGGAATAAGAGCCATATTTTATGTTCCTCTCAGCATAGGCTGTTTGGAAAGGAGCAGAAGACACTTACACTCAATGAAGAAGGGGCAGGGAAGGCAACACTGGGTGCATCTACATGTGCTATTAATTAATAGATTCATAATGTGCAACAATAAACTCTGGTGCATATCACACTGGAGCTTATTACTCCCAGGCATCACAGCTGAATGTGAGCCTGGGACTGCAGCACATTGAGCTGGGTCAGAGCAGCCCATGCTGGCAGAAGGTCTGGGGCATCTGCCTGCCAGCTCAGGGCTGTTCTGACCCAGCTCAACATGCTGCAGAAGGCATAGCTGGAGGGCATGAGGGTGCTCCAATGCGGGGCTAGCTGGCAGGCAGCCCCCGCATTAAAGCAGCCTCATGCCCCAGCCAGATCTGTCAGTGTCTACTCATGCATTGCTATAAAGTAAAAAAACTCTGCCACAGGATAGTACTTGTCATTTACAAGTACTACGCTGTAGCCAAGTTAATTAGTTTACTTTGCCCTAATAGCGTTGCACATGTAGATGCTGAAAGATTTACTGCAGAGCTAATTAGGCAACTCCACGGTAAATATCTTGTGTAGACATGCTCATTGAAGTAAAATGTGACTTTGTTCATCATCCACATCATGTAGTTAATCCTATCCCCTCAGCAAAAACTAAGTGTCAGAGCCCCAAGCAAAACTGCATGGTTAGGTGGAACTGGGGAGCAGTTATTCATGTGTTTCATGTTTCCCTCAGGAAAAAGCACAAGTGACGGTCCTAGATACACTGGCAGCTGAGCTAGTAAAATAATATTAATTACATATTTTATTCAATTAATTTACACAATACATTCTCAGTAAATTATTGGGTGATTTTTTTTTCATTATTCACCCCATGTATAATGATACCTGAGTAATTCATAGATAAGAATGTGCTGAACATTTTCAAGCATAGTTGTTTTCATTATTTACCCAGCTCTATCTGCAAGTGTAGGCCAATAGCGTCAGTAATGCTGTTGGTAGTGAGGGGCACCAGGAACAATGGGAAGCTCTGAGTTGGGCCAGTCACATCTGGGATTGGGATCAGTTCTGTCATACCACTGGAGAGGTACATAACTTGTATGGCCTAAGACAAACTGGAAGAATTAATCCTATGCTCTTGGCACTTACATGATTTTATCTTGTCCCTGTGCAAAGAATCATGGGACAACTAGTGGGTTCACATAAAGATGAAGGATGCACTCTGTCTGCTGATTGCCAGAGAACTATTAATGAATCTTATTTTGTGCATGCAAATTATAATAAGCCGGTCAGAAAAGAATATGGTGGTGTAACATAGAGATGTCCAAATTCTAATTAACTTGTGGCCATGTGCCGTACAGGCTACACCAGTGCAGGCCATGGAAGCCAGGGGCCACACTTTGTGTGGGCACTGTTCCCCTCCTTGCTGCACTGGATTGTGCCATGAGACTACCCAGGGCCCCAGCTCATCATGCCACAGGCTCCCTTGGTTCTGTGCTGACCCACCCTACCTCACCCCACAGGGGTGAAGACAGGAAGTGGAAAACAGGCGAGGGTGGGGTAGCTCAAGGAACATGGCTGACAGTACAGCCAGAGTTATATGGGGGGAGGGAGCAGGTTGAGGTGGGGATGGTAGTTTGATGGGAGACTGAAAGCTGCAAATTAACCCCAAGCAGGCCACATGTGGCCCACAGGCTGTTGAGCTGGACTGCCCTGATTTAACAAGTGATAAATTGAATTCAACTCATCAAAATGTTTATAAATCCTACTGTAACACTTTTTAAAGAGTTTAGGAGTGTTTATATAGCCTTCTCATGCCACAGAATCTTTCATCTGTTTAATTTCTGTTGATTTGGGCTGGAAGCAGGCACAGCATATACCGATTTTTTTAATATGACAGTAATTACAATAGAAACAACAATAAATGGTTCTTTTGAGGCTAGTAACAGTTGGCCTTTACAACATTGGACAAACATAGGGATACTTTGCAATACAAGACAAAGTTACTTTCTCTGTTAATCATTAATAGCAAATACAAATATCCTTTCAGTAGCTGAATGGCAAGAAAGGCATCCTATAATTTATATTACAAATGATGTAACCTCTATGAAAGACCCAGAAACAATGATATAGAACTCTAATGCTTTTGAAAGACAGGTATGAAACTCCTGCTTAAGCTGAGAATTGGTGATGGTTTTTAAGATGAAGATTTTATTGTTCTATAATGAAATAACTAATAATAACAATAATAATACCTAGCCCTCAAATAGCATTTTTTTCATTACTAGGCCTCAGGGCTTCACAAAGGAGTCATCATTTTAAAAGTGCAAATTATCCAGTACAAACTGGACTAGGCATTAGATTGGATTACCATATACTACAAACCTAACATTTTTCAAGGAGTCCCATGGAATGAGGCACACACCAAAATGGTATGGGAGATAAATGCCTAACTTCTTAGGCCAGTTCTGATCTCAGCCCCATGCTAGGAAATATTAATAATCTCTACAGAGGCAGGTGTGCAAGTGAACAGTGTTGATAGATGGGCTTACATTCTATTAATATTCACAGATAAATGACAATTCACACCAAATGAAAGGGGGCACATTCTCTTGAGGACAAATGGAGATGCACCTCAGTACATCAGCTCACATCAATACATTTCAGTTGGTAACAAAATCCCAATTTTAGCATGTAATTTATTTACAGTAAAAATTGTAATGCATTTTTATTGCCAATGGGAGTCAATTGGATAAGGGGAACCTCCAAGAGTAAAATCAGATTTATTGTCAAACTGCTATTTATGTCACATTTCAGAATACTGTATAAGTCACTACAAAAGGAGTGTATTAGCTGAGATATGTGAGGAGAGAAAGAGAGAGAGTTAACAGCAGAAAATGGAATTGGGTTGAGTTCCATTGGTCATATATTGATTGTAGAGGCCAGCAGGTAGCTCCAATACTTTGTGCAGTGGGTGGATCCTTCCTTTGGCTGTGGATTCAGCTCTGAGGCAGCAGTAGCCTTTGTGCTGAAAGGATTACCTTTCTGATGGCTCAGAATGGTAGAAAGATCTATCATTTGAGTGAATTTTTCTATTTTCCAAACTGACATGGTCCCACTATATGCAAAGGAACAATATTTCTGCAGGTTTGCAGAATATATCCATTAACCAAACTACTGTAG